AATACATATTGCTTCATTAAAAGATTTTGTGTTGTATTTAATTTCATATTAATCCTTCCTATTAATCTCATTAATATTTCATCTGCTGTTTTTTTTAATTAAGGTTCCACCTAGATTATAGCATTCTTTTGGGCTCGTTTGGGGGGGGGGAGCAGGGTCAGGAGCAGGAAGTATGGTTCTGCGGTAGTTCTTTTCCATCTTTGAGATTGGTTTCAGCCAAGGTTAGGAGGAGGGAGATCCAGCCCTGAATTCTTACATTCTGAGACCATGACTTTCTCCCCACTCCTATCTAACATCTGGTGAGATTATTCATCAACACGAGGTTAAATGCCATTAATATGTTGATGATACTCAACTGTACTTCTTTGCCCTGAGTTGTCCAAATGATACTGTTCAGATTCTTTCCCAATGCCTGGAGGCTGTAACAGTCTGGATCAGAAAGAACAGGTCTTAACTCAATTCTAGGAAGATCAAGTAGCTGTGGGTTTTAGGGCCTCAGAGTTGTGGAGACTATTTTTGACTTGGATGGATAGCACACCCCTAGACACAGATGATACACAATGGGGTAGAGGTCTTTGAGGCTGATGGTCAAAGAACAGGTGGCAGCTATGGTCAAGAGGACCTCCATATTCATTTTGTGCACCCATTCCTGAAGCAGGAGGTTCTGCTTTATTCACATCTTATGCAGTTATCAGTTGTAAATTGTTCTCCATAGGATGCTCATGAATTGCTTTCAAAAGCTGCTATTAGTCCAGAATGTAAGAGTGCATGTGGTTTGGAACAAATCATGGTTTGTCTATATAACATCACTGCTTTGCAAGTCACACTGGCTCCCAGTGAAGAAATTCAAGGCATCAATGAAGTGAAAGCAATGTAAACTATACTTTTCAATATTATTAAATGTGAAAGCCTTGACTGATCATGTTCCCAATTGATAATGATCATGGCTTATGGAAACCTGTGGCTTCNATACAGGATTATCTGTCAAATGCAAACGAGGTTTATTTTTCAAAAAATACTACTGAATTAATATACATAGAAGGTTAAGCTTTAATTTGACACATAATTGTTTTGGAAATAATATTAAGTATAATATTTATTGTAATTGTACTTAAAAACAACAGAATTGGTTGCATTGATCTCATTGAACTCACAACTGGAAAAAAAAAAAATCCATAATGATTCATTCTAAGATTAGTTAAAAGTCCATCTCATCCACTGTGTTCTTAGGCAATAAAAACAGAAAAAGTGAATAAAATTAAGTGGAATAAAATCAGTGCTACACAGAAAAAAATATCAAAAATCAAGAATTTTAACACTTTTTTCAAACTATAATATTTTTATGGTTAAATCACTGACTTTTCCCATATTTGTACATTCACAGTTTTATTCTGAAGCAAATACCTGTTTACATATTATAAAGTAATAAATGCTATTGAGTGCTGGATTAAGAATGCAACCTTCCACACTCTGATGTCTACAAAATTCTCTGGATTATAATTCCCATTATTCCTGATCGATTTTAATATTTAATGTTTTGTTCCTTTGTTTTTATGATGTTTGTAATGCCCCCCGAGTTGCTTGATAGTGAGTTGAATGGCATATCAAGTTAATAAATAAATAAAATAAAAAATAAATCAGGTGACCAAGACATTTGGGAGGCAGCACTTAGGGGAAGGCTACAATAGACTTGGTTTGAACAGAAAAATTATCTTACCTGTCTAACCGTAGCTGGCAAGTTGTTCTGAGTATATCAACCATGCTCTCATTTTTCCACTGTTTGCAGCAAATGCTGGTAGCAATAAAACAGCCTGTTCTCCCAATCCCTGCACTGGCCAGAGAAAGAAACAAAAAGTGACGACAAAGATCTTCCAAAAAATAAAACATTGTTTAGAACACCTTCTTCACATCTGGGACTGAGTTTTCCATCTTTTCCATCTGGGACTGAGTTCATGAGTTTAAGGTCAGGGGGATATTATAACACCATTCAGAAGTCAAGAGTCAAAGCAGAAAATTGAACATAACTCAGGGTCCTTGGTGCTCTCTGATCTTGGTTTTTTTCTTGCAGATGTTTCATTACCTAAAATTAGGTAATGAAATGTCATTGGTGCTAGTAAGGAATGGGGTTTGTTCTCGTTTTATATTTTAGTGGCTTGCTCTCTCAGTGTTGGTGAGGGTGGTCTTAGAGATTCTTTGGTTGGGCTGTTTACTATTAACTTGTTTGGAAGTCTCCTTGATTGGGGTATAGAGTATTGTTTACTTCTTGATTGTTGGTCTGATGGAGTTAATCTGTGCTCAACTGGGTGCTATTTGCTGGTGGGGAGGCGTTTTTTGACCTTTTTGTTCCCTTTTGGGCTTGTTGATTGCTTCTTTTGCATAGTATAGAGATACAGTTATGTCTATGTGAGATCCAGGCTTCTAGAAATTCCCTAGCATTTTGGTCTTGGTCCAGGATGGTCACATTTTCCCAATTGCAACTATGGTTAAGTCTGTCCAGATGTTGTGAAATTAAAGAGTTTTCATCATGTAAAACCAGGGACTCATTTGAACTCTGAGCTGCGAATATTCTTTTTTATTGGTACTGAATGTAACTCTTTAGCTCTACCATGTATTCTCAAATTTTAGGAAAGTGTTATTATTTATTTCAGACAATATGGTTGCGTATAGGAATAGAAGTCTTTAGTAGACTGAAACTCTTTGCTTCCCCAAAGTGATTTCTTGTCCATGTGTATAAATGTGGTGACCTTCTGGTTTCTCACATATTATCCTCTGACTGCAAATTACTGGTAGGTATGTGATGGGGGGCTGTTATTCTAGAATATGTGGGGGGTAGATAGAAGTGCTACTCAACCCACAGACCGAATGTGGACCGAACATATGAAAAGACTCTTTAATGAGCTTACGTTTTCTTTATCTGGCTTATGCAACAAAAACCAGCAGAATATCTTTTACCATTGGCCCTGTATTATTTCAGAAAAAGGTTAGCAGTTTTATTGGATAAAATGTTACAGGATAAAGTTCCAGAGAGATGTTATGTGAGGCATCTGGTTTCTGTCAGCTTTTATATGTCAACATGTCATTTTAAATAAACAGCAAGTAACAATTACTTCATGGTCCAAGAGCATCTCTGTTTTGCAAGTCTTTAGCTCTGCTGAAAGCTTCTTAGATGACTTTCCATCATTGTCACTTAAATTATTTGGGCCAACAGCTAAGCCCTCAGGAAGAAGAAATGCAACTGATGTAGTCATTCCACTCAGATCTACAGATGTTATATTTGATTGGGTTCCCCCCCCCCCTTGGTAAAATGTATATGCATATCCTTCATACTATTCTCTATTGGAAATTACTTAAGAAATACATATTGCTTCATTAAAAGATTTTGTGTTGTATTTAATTTCATATTAATCCTTCCTATTAATCTCATTAATATTTCATCTGCTGTTTTTTTTAATTAAGGTTCCACCTA